TGTCAGTGTCTTGAGTTTTCCAGTGGTAAACAAGGATGTCACCACCTACTTTGTGGACTTATAAAGTTATGAAGACTAAATAAGATATCACATGTAAGTCCCTCATTGCCATGACTACTATCCCATGTGGATGTGGAATAAACATTTATTCCCTTCCTCCTTTCTAAGCCTAGTGCTTTTACTATGTATGATACTTCCTCTCAACAATAAGAAACATTAAACACACCAAGTAATTTTGTTTTGCCACATTGTAAGAGCTCATTAAGGTAAAAGAGAATTAATGACCCAGCACTAAAATTAGGCTTAACAACATATATCTAACTGCGATTTATCCCTGAATTCAGTTTTCTCTCCTACAATACATTGTGAGATGAGGCATCACATCAGGGAACACATATGTTGATATGCTTCACTGGTGATGTTAATCTTAATCACTTAAAGTGGTATCTACCAAAATTCTCCACTGGAAGCCTTATTTTTTTCTTGTAAATACTATAATATTTGAAGAAATCCTGAAATGAAACCAGAGTAAGAAGAGGAGGAAGAGGAGAGGGAAGACAGAGGGACAAAGAGAGACAGAAACAGAAGAGACAGTGTGCATGTACACAAGCTCCCAAAGGAGATCTTCAGCATTATCTCAATACAATAAATAGGGAATTAGTAATTATACCATTGGATGATCAAAGATTCTTCTCAAAGAGAATACAAATTTTTTAAACACTTGATGTAAGCTTTGTCAAAAGCCTTATGAATTAGTATACATATTACTTACTTTCACGTTTTTCTTACTTACATATTTATTCCTTTCTAGAGCTAGTTATCTTCTAGAAAGACTTCTAGAAGATTAGCCAGAAACAACCTCCCATCAGAGAAACTCACACCACCTTCCCCCAAGCACTTTAAATCTGCTTAAAGCATTTTAAACCCTTTATCACAAATTCCATCAGCTTGCTTGTATCACAATGAGACTCACGATCTGCAGATATCGGAGTCCCCTCTGGATTGGAATATCTTCCAAATCTGAAATGTTCACTTTGTTTGCCTTGAGGTACTATCTGTCTATTCTGAGAAGTATGGTTTTAACGTCCTCTCCGATGTATAGCTATGTTACTATCTGGAAGAGAACGACTGTATACGACTTTGAAAGTCCTAATGTGGATTTAGTCCTAGAAAACCTAAACATTCTTGATCCTGTGCTATAGGTTTACTGGTCAATAATTTGGAGCGTTGGTTCCAATGATCTCGAAGATATAGGTTGTAGTCAAAGTTAAACTCACTATTCATCCTGTTTTGAAAGCAGCATCCAGGATGAATGAAATTCTTTTATCAAAGTTCCACTATCCAATTTGGAAGGAGTCTTGGACAAGAATTATACGAACACAGAAAGTGCTTCTATTTGAAGGTGGAGAGATGCAGAGTTTTTTAATGTACAGTAATCTGGGGGTGACTGAGAGACATACTGAACTTGGCTTCAACACTTATCATATTTGAAGTATGTGAGTTTAGCTTATGTTGATCATTCTTTTCTACTACAGAATCCTGACCTTGAGGAAAGGGGAAATGGTGTTTTTTCATGTAGTTATCTATACATGGGGCTTTGCTTTGACGCTGTTCAAGAAAAATGGGAGAAGGAAGGTCTGAAGCTATATAATCCTGACCTTGAGAAAGGAGAAAATAGTTTTCTCTCAACTGATGATCTACATGTGGGGCTACAGTGTGTTCAAAGAGTTCTCGTTGTTCAAGTAAAACACAAGAAGGAAGGATTGGAGCTACATAATAATCCTGACATTGAGGGGGAGAATGCTGTTTCCTCACATGGTGATCTGCATGTGGGGCTCTGCTTTGTTCAAAGAGCTCTCGTTGTTCAAGTAAAACACAAGAAGGAAGGATTGGAGCTACATAAGGCCTTGGTCTCCCAGAGTGCTAGGGTGCCCAGCCTCCTTTGTTATTTCTGATTGAGCTTATTTGGGTCCTTTCTCTTCTATTTCTGGTTAATCTAGCCAAAAGATCTATTGATTTTGTTCATCTTCTCAGATAACCAACTTTTTGTTTCATTGATCCTTTTTTTGTTTTGTTTTGTTTCCATTTCATTTAGTTTTGCTCTGAGCTTTGTTATTTCATTTCTTCTGCAGGCTTTGAGTTTGGTTTTCTAGTTCCTTGAGATGTGACATTAGGTTGTTTATTAAGATTCTGTCTTTTTCATGTAGGCAATTAAGGCTATGAATTTTCTCCTTAGGACTGCTTTTGCTGAATCCATAAATTTTGATAGCTTGTGTTCCCTCTGTTGTTCAGTTCAAGGAATCTTTTGATTTTCATCTGAATTTCATCATGGACCCAAAAATTGTTCAGCAGCAGGTTGTTTAATTTCCATAACTTTGTGTAGATTTGAGTGTTTCTCTTGGAATTGATTTTTGGTTTTTCCACAAATCGAACCTTTTGTTGTTTCAGATACAACCAAGATCCCTTCATGCATTTTGTCACTGTCTTCTTTATCTCCTCCAATCTGTGACAGTTTTTCAGTCTTTGCTTCATAACCTTGCACTTTGAAAGTGCTGAGCAGTATTTTTTTTTAAGAAAACCCTTCAATTTAGCTTGTCTGATGTTGTCTCAAGTTAGATTGAGGCTATAGATTCTCAATACGTCATAATAGGGAGCAAATTAGTTGATATGCATTAATCGGTGACATAACACGATCGTTTTGGATAAAGTAGTGCTGCCAGGATTCTCCATGTAAAGTTACTCTTTTTCTTTGTAGATACAATATTTCAGGGATTGTTTAGTCTATGCAGATATCCTGGTTTCTGTTTGACATAATGACCACCTTTTAGCAAGTAGTTACTGGATCTTTGCTGTGGAATTACTGTAGTATTGTAATGGTGTTTTCTATGTTTTCCTATGTTTTTCATTTCTACATTCATTAATTGGAATTCTTCTGTAAGAAGAACTGTTGTTTCTTCACTATTTATTCTTTTTCAGTTTATTTACATTAGTATAGACTCATGAGTATTTTATTTTTTAAATATTAGGAAGTACAAATTTTTGTTACATGGATACTTTTATATTGCTTAATCAAGGCTTTAGTGGTTGACTATCACCTGAATAGCCTTCATTGTATCTTCGGTAGGTTTTACCATTTCCCCCCTCCCTCTCCCAGTTTAATTTCAATGATGCTTACTTCTTCTCTGTGCCTATCAGTTAGTTCCAAATGTTAGAGAATACATGTGGTGTTTTTTCTATTCTTGACTATTAGGTTGGTGCTAAAGTAACTGAGGTTTTAGCATTGTTGAAATTCCCCTTGATATTGGAATGTTATTCTTAAATGTGGTTATGTTATACATCATTTTATGCACATTTCTTGCTGTATATTTTTGCTAATGTATTGTTTATATTTTTTAGACTATGGGAATGATGTTAGACAAAAAGCAAATTCGAGCAATTTTGTTATTTGAGTCAAAATGGGTCACAAGCAGTGGAGACAACTAGCAACATCAAAATGCATTGGGCCCAGGAACTGCTACAAATGTACAGTACAGTGTATGGTCAAAAGTTTTGCAAAGGAGAAGAGCCTTGAAGATGAGGAGCACAGTGGCCGGCCACTGGAAGTTGACAATGACAATTGAGAGCAATCATTGAGCTGATCCTCTGGAAACTACATGAGAAGTTGCCAAAGAACTCAAGGTCAACCATTCTATGTGTCGTTCAGCATTTGGAGCAAATTGGAAAGGTGAAAAGTGGATAAGTGGTGCCTCGTGAGCTGACCAAAAACAAAAATCATTTTTTTGAAGTGGTCGTCTTCTTTTATGGTATGCAACAACAACGAACCATGCTTGATCAGATTGTGAAATGCAATGAAAATGGTTTTTATGTGACAACCAGCTCAGTGGTTGGACCAGAAACAGCTCCAAAGCACTTCTCAAAGCCAAACTGCACCACAAAAGGCCATGTCACTGTTCGGTGGTGCACTGTTGTCTGGTCACTCCAGCTTTCTGAATCCTGGTGAAACCATTACATGTGAGAAGTATGCTCAACTAATTGATGAGATGCACAAAAACTGCAGTACCTGAGCTGGCATTGTTCAACAGAAAGGGCCCAATTCTTTCTATGACAGTGCCACTACATGTCACACAGCTAATGCTTCAAAGTTGAAGGATTTTGTATAAAAGACTTCTTTCCTTTGGGTAGATACTGAGAGTGGGATTGCTGGTGAATGTTAAGTCGTATTTTTATTTATTTTAGAAATATCCATACTTGTTTTCCATGGAGGTTATGCTAATTTGCATTCCACACATAGCATGTAAGTGTTCCTTTCTCTCTGCATCCATGCCAGCATCTAGTGTTTTTGAACTTTTAGTAGCCATTCTGACACTCGAAAGGTGATATCTCATTGTGGTTTAATTTGCATTTCTCTGATGATTAGTATATTGAGCAGTTCTTCACATTTATTGGTCATTGTCTTCTTTGAAAGCTTCTGTTTATGTCTTTTGCCTGCTTTTAAATGGGTTTTTTTTCTTTGAGTTTGAGTTTTGTTTATGTTAGTGCAAATAATTGTGGTTTCGGACCATGATTTTTAAATATCATAACTAGATTCAAATACATCTTATTAATCAAAATAGGAACCATTATAATCAACACATTTTTGCTGATGAGAATAGTTTGTTTATTCCTGTAGCATAGAATCCACGCTTCGGGATTCAACACACTCTTGGAAGCATTTTCTGCATCCTGCTGGTTGTGAAGCATTTTTCCTGCAAAAGTTGCGAGATTGAAATAGTGTAATGGTTGTGCGAGGAGGTTGACTGTGGTGATGAGGCAAAACTTTGTAGCCCCAGTTTTTTGAGCATTGGTTGTACGATGTGTGGTTGGGCGTTTGTCGTGAGAAGAATTGGCCCTTTCTGTTGACCAATGCCGGTATAGGCGTTGCAGTTTCGACATCTTATCACTTTGCTGAGCATACTTCTCACTTGTAATGGTTTCACCAGGATTCAGAAAAGCTGAAGTGGATCAGACCGGCAGCGTACCACAAACAGTGACCATGACCTTTTTTGGTGTAAGTTGGCTTTGGAAATGCTTTGGGGCTGCTTCTTGGTCCAGCACCGAAGCTGGTCATCTCCATTTGTCACATAAAATCCACTTTTCCTCACATGTCACATCTGATCAAGAAATGGTTCGTTGCTGCGTACAATGAGGAGAAGAACACTTAAAAACAATGATTTTTTTGATTTCAGTCAGCTCATGAGGCACCATTATCCAGCTTTTTCACCTTCCACTTTGCTTCAAATGCTGAACAACCCTAGAATGGTTGACCTTGAGTTTTTGGCAACTCTCATGTAGTTGTCAGAGGATCGCTTCATGATTGCTCTCAATTTGTTGTCACTTCCAACAGCCGGCCACTGTGCTCCTCATCTTCAAGGCTCTCATCTCTTTGCAAAACTTCTTGAACAATCACTGGTACTGTACATTTGTTAGCAGTTCCTGGCCCAATGTGGTTGTTGATGTTGTAGTTGTCTCCGCTGCTTTGTGACCCATTTTGAAATCAAATACAAAATTGCTCGAATTTGTTTTGTCTAACATCATTTCATAGTCTAAAGATATATAAATGAACAAGTAATAAGTCATTAGCAAAAATAATGCACCAAGAAATGGCATTAAATGATGTATACATAACACATTTATTTAAGAATGTATCCATATCAAACAGGAAATTTAAACATTGGTTTAAACCGCAATTATTTTGTACCAACTAATATAAGATTCAAACAAATCAGCAAGAATTTGTTTCTGGGATATAGCCTTTATGCATATAGTTGTGAATATTTTCCCATCTGTAGTTGTCTCTTTACTCTGCTGTGAAGAAGCCTTTTAATTTAATCAACTCCCATTTTTTTTGTGGTGCTGTAATTGACTTTGGAGTGTTAGTCATAAATTCTTTGCCCTAGGACGATGTCTAGAAGAGTTTCTTCGACTTTTCTTCTAGAATTTTTATGGTTTCATGCCTTACATTTAATTTTTTATCCATCTTGAATTAATTTGGCAAAGATAGAGGTCCTGTTTCATTTCTGTGTGTGGCAATTCAATTTTCAGCACCATTTATGATAAGACTTCTTTTCCAGTGTATGTTGTTTGTCTGCTTTGTCTAAGATCAGCTAGTGTAGTAGATGGTTTTTTATCAGGTTCTCTGTTTTGATCCATTGGTCTTGTCTATTTTGTATCAATACAATGTCGTTGTTGTTTTTTTTGGTTTTTTTTGAGACAGAGTCTCTTTGTTGTCCAGGCTATAGTGAGTGCCGTGGCGTCAGCCTAGCTCACAGCACCTCAAACTCCTGGGCTCAAGTAATCCTTCTGCCTCAGCCTCCCGAGTAGCTGGGATACAGCATGCGCCACCGTGCCTGGCTAACTTTTTTATGTAAATATATATTAGTTGGCCAATTAATTTCTTTTATTATAGAGAGATGGGTCTCGCTCTTGCTCAGGCTGGTTTTGAACTCCTTACCTCGAGCAGTCGCCCACCTCGGCCTCCCAGAGTGCTAGGATTACAGGCGTGAGCCACCGCCCGGGCCTACAATGCTGTTTGATCACTAAAGACTTGCTAGTTATATAGTTTGAAGTCTAGTAATTGATGCCTCCAGATTTGTTTTTTGCTTGAGATTGCTTGCTATGTTTTTTTGTTTCCAAATGAAGCTTAGGATTATTTTTTTCAGATTTGTGAAATATGACTTTGGTTTTGATGGTGATTGTGTTGAATCTGTAAATCACTTTGGGCACGGTGGACATTTTAAAGATGTTGATTCTAACTGATCTTGAGCATGAGATTTTTCCATTTGTTTGGTCATCTGTGACTTTTTTTCATCAGTGTTTGTAGTTTTCCTCGTAGAGATCTTTCATCTCCTGGTTAAGTATATTCCTAAGTTTTTATTTCTTTGTAGCTATTGTGAACGGTATAGAGTTTTTGATTTGACTGTAAGCTGCTGTTATTAGTTTATGTAAATGCTGCTGACTTGGATACATTGTTATAATCTGAGACTTTTCTGAAATTTATTTATCATTCTAGAATCTTTTTGAAGACTTTGGGATTTTCTAGATATAAATCATGTTATCAGTGAAAGCAATAGTTTGACATTCCTCTTTCCAGATTGGATACCCTTTATTTCTTTCTTTGTCTGATTGCTCTGGGTAGGACTTCCAGTACTATGTTGAATAGAGTGGCACAATAGGCACCTTTGTCTTGCTCAGTAAGGAACTTGTTCCAAATTTCTGTCCATTCAGTATGATGTTGGCTTGGGTTTATCGTAACTGCTTTAATTTTGTAGCCTAGTTCACCTAGTTTTTGAGGGTTTTATTATGAAAGGAAGCTAGATATTTTGTTAAATGTTTTTCTGCGTCTATTGAGATGATCATATGATCTTTGTTTTTGCTTCTGTTTATTGACGAATCACATTATATATTGATTTACATGTGTTGACCATCCTGAATGGTCTTACATGGATTGCATCCCTGAGATAAAGCACTTGGTTATGGTGGATACTTTTTTGATGTGCTATCTAATTCAGTTTGCTAGTGATTTTATTAAGGATTTTTTCTTATTCATAAATCTGGTTATATGTTTTGTTGTGTCTTTCCTGGCTTTGTTATCAAGGTGATATTCTTCATAGAATGAGTTAGGGAGGATTCCTTGATTTATGAAATTTCTTGGATGGGTCCGCTCTTCTTTGTAGGTCTGGTAGAATTCAGCTGTGAATTTATTGGTCTGGTTTTTGATTGGAATTTTTTTATGACTGCTTAATCTGCACTTGTTGTATTGTCTGTTCAGGGAGTTTTGTTTCTTCCTCGTGAGTATGGGAAGTTGTATGTTTCAGGAATTTGCCCATATATTTGTGCTTTATGTGTGCTTAAGATTTTCATGTTCATTCATAGATGATTTTGTATTTCTTGCTAATCAATTGAATATATCCTTGTTATTCTTTTTTTTTTTTTTTTGAGACAGGTTCACTCTGTGGCCCTAGGAGAGCGTGGATCAGGCCTGCTCACAGCAACCTAAACTGCCTGGGCTAAGCAAATCTCCTGCTCAGCCTCCCGAGTAGCTGGACTACAGGCATGCACCCACCATGGCTGGAAATTTTTTCTATATTATATTTTGTTGGCAATAATTTCTTTATATTTTAGTAAAGTGGGTCTCACCTTGTCAGGCAGTTTCGAACTCCTGACCTTGGAGAATCTCACGCCTTGTTCCAGAGGTAGGTGCCAGCTTCCTTTCTCCCATTTTTCTTGAACAGCGTCAAAGCAAAGCCCCATGTATAGATAACTACATGAAAAAACACCATTTCCCCTTTCCTCAAGGTCAGGATTCTGTAGTAGAAAAGAATGATCAACATAAGCCTAAATCACATGCTTCAAATATGATAAGTGTTGAAGCCAAGTTCAGTAATGTCTCTCAGTCACCCCCAGATTACTGTACATTAGAAACATCTGCATCTACTCCACCTTCAAATAGAAAAGCACTTTCTTGTGTTCGTATAACTCTTTGTCCCAAGACTCCTTCCAAATTGGATAGTGGAACCTTAGATAAAAGATTTCATTCATTGGATGCTGCTTCTAAAACAAGGATGAATAGTGAGTTTAACTTTGACCTACAACCTATATCTTCGAGATCATTGGAACCAACCTCCAAATTATTGACCAGTAAACCTATAGCACAGGATCAAGAATGTTTAGGTTTTCTAGGACATAAATCTACATTGGACTTTCAAGTCGTACAGTCTTCTCTTCCAGATAGTAATACTGTTACTCAGGACTTGAAAACCATACCTTCTCAGAATAGACAGATAGTAACCTCAAGGCAAACACAAGTGAACATTTCAGATTTGGAAGGATATTCCAATCCAGAGGGGACTCCGATATCTGCAGATCGGTGAGTCTCATTGTGATAACAAGCAAGCTGATGGAATTTGTGATAAAGGGTTTAAAATGCTTTAAGCAGATTTAAGTGCTTGGGGGAAAGGTGGTGTGATTTCTCTGATGGGAGGTTGTTTCTGGCTAATCTTCTAGAAGTCTTTCTAGAAGATTAGACTTCTAGAAAGGAATAAATATGTAAGTAAGAAAAAACGTGAAAGTAATGTATTTATACTTTCAAAGGGCTTTTGACAAAGCTTAACATCAAGTGTTTTAAAAAATTGTATTTCTTTGAGAAGAATCTTTGATCATCCAATGGTATAATTACTAATTCCCTATTTATTGTATTGGAGATAATGCTGAAGATCTCCTTTGGGAGCTTGTGTACATGCACACTGTCTCTTTCTGTTTCTGTCTCTCTTTGTCCCCCTCTGTCTTCCCCTCTCCCTCTCTCTCTCCTTCTTATCTCTGGTTTCATTTCAGGATTTCTCTCAAATATTTAGTATTTTACAAAGAAAAAAATATAGCTTTCCAGTGGAGAATTTTGGTAGATACCACTTTAAGTGATTAAGATTAACATCACCAGTGAAGCATATCAACATAATGTGTTCCCTGATGTGATGCCTCATCTCACAATGTATTGTAGGAGAGAAAACTGAATTCAGGGATAAATGCATTAGATATATGTTGTTAAGCCTAATTTTAGTGCTGGGTCATTAATTCTCTTTTACCTTAATGAGTCTCTTACAATGTGGCAAAACAAAATTACTTGTGTGTTTAATGTTTCTTATTGTTGAGAAGGTATCATACCATAGTAGAAAGCACTAGGCTTAGAAAGGAGGAAGGGAATAAATGTTTATTCCACATCCACATGGGATAGTAGTCATGGCAATGAGGGACTTACATGTGCTATCTTATTTAGTCTTCATAACTTTATAAGTCCCACAAAGTAGGTGGTGACATCCTTGTTTACCCACTGGAAAACTAAGACACTGACACTGTTACTTGTGCCAAGTGATGCTGTTTGTAAGCAGAAGAATGGACACTCAAATGCTGTCTGTTTAATCAAAGCAAGAGCTTGTTCCCCTACATAGTACTTTCCCCTGCAATTCTGAACCCTACTTCTGATTCTTCTTCTAGCTATGATCTTGGACACTCATTCAATATCTTTGGCACTTGTGAGAGATTATGGAAGGAAAAGTTTGGAAAGCTGACTTACAGAGGAGTTGTAGAAATAGTACAAAGAGTTTCCATATTAGTTATCTATTGCTTATAACATATTACCCTGAAATGTAGCAACTTAAAACCGTAAACATCTGAAAGTGTCTGTAGGTCAGAAATCCAGGCTTAGTTTATATGGGTACTTCTGGCTTAGGTTCTCTCACAAGATTGTAAACAAGGCTTTGGCTGCAACTTGGACTCATCTGAAGGCTCATTTGAGAGGGTGTGCTTCCAAGCTCACTCACATGGCTTTGGCCAGAGACATTTATGACATTTATGCTTCTCTCAGTAAGCAAGTGAGAGAGAGCAAGAGAGGGTGCTTAAGACAAAAGCCATAGTCTTTCTGTAACCTAACATTGAAAGTGACTTCTCGTCACCTCTCCCATGTTCTGTTTACTAGAAATGAGCCATTCTATGTACCCTGACACTCAAGGGTTGGGAGTTACACATGAGCATGAATGACAGGAGGTAGAGATCCTTGAGGGATATTTTAGAGGTTTCCATGTACCCTTTACTGAAGCTTCTCCTTATGTTAACATCTTACTGTAACATTGTAACCATAAAATATTTATCAAAACTAAGAAATTATCCTTGGTATAAAACTGTAACAAAAGTATAGACTGCTTGGATTTCGCCAGGTTTTTCCACAAATGAACCTTTTTTGTTTCAGATACAACCCAAGATCCCTTCATGCATTTTAGTTGTCATGTCTTCTTAATCTCCTCCAATCTGTGACAGTTTTTCAGTCTTGTCTTTCATAACCATGGCACTTTGAAAAGTGCTGAGCAGTTATTTTAAAGAAAACCCTTCAATTTAGCTTTGTCTGATGTTGTCTCAAGGTTAGATTGAGGCTATAGATTCTCAATACGTCATAATAGGGAGCACATTATGTTGATATGCATTAATGGTGACATCAACCCCGATCGTTTGGATAAAGTAGTGTCTGCCAGGATTCTCCATGTAAAGTTACTCTTTTTCCTTTGTAGATACCAAATATTTCAGGGGGATTTGTTAGTCTATGCAGATATCCTGTTTCTGCTTGACATATGACCACTACTTTTAGCAAGTAGTTACTGGATCTTTGCTGTGGCAATTATTACTGTAGTATTGTAATGGTGTTTTTCTATGTTTTCTATGTTTTTCATGTCTTCTACATTCATTAATTGGAATTCTTCTGTAAGGAAGAACTGTTGTTTCTTCACTATTTATTCTTTCAGTTATTTATTTACATTAGTATAGACTCATGAGTATTTTTTTAATTTTAAAATATTAGGAAGGTACAAATGTTTTTGTTACATGGATAGCTTTTATATTGCTTAAGTCAAGGCTGTTAGTGTGACTATCACCTGAATAGCCTTCATTGTATCTGTTCGGTAGGTTTTTACCATTCCCCTCCTCCCTCTCCCAGTCTTAATTTCCAATGACTTTTACTTCTCTCTGTGCCTATCAGTTAGTTCCAAATTGTTAGAGAATACATGTGGTGTTTGTTTTCTATTCTTGAGCTATTAGGTTGGTGCTAAAGTAACTGAGGTTTTAGCATTGTTGAAATTTCCCACTTGATATTGGAATGTATTCTTAAATGTGGTTATGTTATACATCATTTTAATGCACATTTCTTGCTGTATATTTTTTGCTAATGACTTATTGTTTATATTTATTTTAGACTATGGGAATGATGTTAGACAAAAAGCAAATTCGAGCAATTTTGTTATTTGAGTTCAAAATGGGTCACAAAGCAGTGGAGACAACTAGCAACATCAACAATGCATTGGGCCCAGGAACTGCTAACAAATGTACAGTACAGTGATGGTTCAAGAAGTTTTGCAAAGGAGATGAGAGCCTTGAAGATGAGGAGCACAGTGGCCGGCCACTGGAAGTTGACAATGACAAATTGAGAGCAATCATTGAAGCTGATCCTCTGACAACTACATGAGAAGTTGCCAAAGAACTCAAGGTCAACCATTCTATGTGTCGTTCAGCATTTGGAACAAATTGGAAAGGTGAAAAAGCTGGATAAGTGGGTGCCTCGTGAGCTGACCAAAAATCAAAAAAATCATTGTTTTGAAGTGTCGTCTTCTTTTATGGTATGCAACAACAACGAACCATTGCTTGATCAGATTGTGAAATGCAATGAAAATGGATTTTATGTGACAACCAGCTCAGTGGTTGGACCAAGAAACAGCTCCAAAGCACTTCTCAAAGCCAAACTTGCACCACAAAAAGGCCATGGTCACTGTTCGGTGGTGCACTGCTGGTCTGGTCCACTCCAGCTTTCTGAATCCTGGTGAAACCATTACATGTGAGAAGTATGCTCAACTAATTGATGAGATGCACCAAAAACTGCAGTACCTGCAGCTGGCATTGTTCAACAGAAAGGGCCCAATTCTTTTCTATGACAGTGCCCACTACATGTCACACAGCTAATGCTTCAAAAGTTGAAGGATCTTTTGTATAAAAGGACTTCTTTCCTTTGGGTAGATACTGAGGAGTGGGATTGCTGGGTTGAATGTTAAGTCTATATTTATTTATTTTAGAAATATCCATACTGTTTTCCATGGAGGTTATGCTAATTTGCAGTTCCACAATAGCATGTAAGTGTTCCTTTCTCTCTGCATCCATGCCAGCATCTAGTGTTTTTTGACATTTTAGTAGCCATTCTGACACTGGAAAGGTGATATCTCATTGTGGTTTTAATTTGCATTTCTCTGATGATTAGTGATATTGAGCACTTCTTCACATTTATTGGTCATTTGTCTTCTTTTGAAAAGCTTCTGTTTATGTCTTTTGCCTGCTTTTTAATGGGGTTGTTTTTTTCTTGCTGATTTGTTTGAGTTCTTTGTATTATGTTAGTGCAAAAGTAATTGTGGTTTCGGACCATGATTTTTAAATCATCATAACTAGATTCAAATACATCTTTATTAATCAAAATAGGAACCATTATAATCAACACATTTTTGCTGATGAGAATAAGTTTGTTTATTCCTGTAGCATAAGAATCCACGCTTCAGGATTCAACACACTCTTGGAAAGCATTTTCTGCATCCTGCTGGTTGTGGAAGCATTTTTCCTGCAAAAAGTTGTCGAGATGCTTGAATAAGTGGTAATTGGTTGGCGAGAGGTCGGTGACTGTGGTAGATGAGGCAAAACTTTGTAGCCCCAATCCGTTCAACTTTTGAAGCATTGGTTGTACGATGTGTGGTTGGGCGTTGTCGTGGAGAAGAATTGGGCCCTTTCTGTTGACCAATGCCGGCTATAGGCGTTGCAGTTTTCGGTACATCTTATCACTTTGCTGAGCATACTTCTCACTTGTAATGGTTTCACCAGGATTCAGAAAGCTGAAGTGGATCAGACCGGCAGCGTACCACCAAACAGTGACCATGACCTTTTTTTGGTGTAAGTTTGGCTTTGGGAAATGCTTTGGGGCTGCTTCTTGGTCCAGCCACCGAGCTGGTCATCTCCATTTGTCACATAAAATCCACTTTTCCTCACATGTCACAATCTGATCAAGAAATGGTTCGTTGCTGCGTACAATGAGAGAAGACAACACTTAAAAACAATGATTTTTTTGATTTTCAGTCAGCTCATGAGGCACCCACTTATCCAGCTTTTTCACCTTCCACTTTGCTTCAAATGCTGAACAACCATAGAATGGTTGACCTTGAGTTCTTTGGCAACTTCTCATGTAGTTGTCAGAGGATCAGCTTCAATGATTGCTCTCAATTTGTTGTCAACTTCCAACAGCCGGCCACTGTGCTCCTCATCTTCAAGGCTCTCATCTCCTTTGCAAAACTTCTTGAA